ACCTTTCGGTGTCTCCGGGCCACACTGGGAGAAGAGTTGCCTTGGGCCACCCAGGAAATACATTGCAACACGTAATCACAAAACAGTCTCATTATGTTTTAAGTAAACTTATGATTTTGTGTTGGGCCGCATGCACAGCCAGCCTGGGCTGCCTGCGGCCCGCGGGCCACAGGTTGGGCGCCCCTGGAAGGGAAACTACATGTCCCTCATTGGAAAGATTCTCTTAAGGAGACACTTTGAGGCAGGGAGCAGAAATCTGGACCATAACATCCCAGTGGAAGCCTTGCTGGCAGTAGGTGCCTCTTCACAGCTAGGGTAGCACGCGCACGATCTTCCCAGCCCCAGGCACCTGTTCGCGAAGGTTCCCAGCAGCTGTCTCTGTGGCTGGCCAGTGGTTTTCTACAGAAGCGAGGAGTGCAATCCCAACGGTCCCGAGTCCCAGCGTGCTAGATCTTGCGAATGTTCAGGAAGGGCAGAGACATTGTGAAAGCCGGCGTACCGCAGAAAGCAGAAGGGTGACCCTGAGGAGATAGAGCGGTGTCTGTGGGGACAGCCGAAGGGGAGAGCCGTCACCAGCCCAGGTCCCCTAAGGGAACTTGTGGATGAATTCATTCCTATGTGGTTCAGCAACAGAAACCTCCAGTAATTTTTTGATTAATGACTTCCTGGAGGATGAAGTGCTTTTATACAAAGAACTCTATTAAAAAACAACAACAAGAACAAAACCTCAAGCCAAAATCCTGCCATAAATCATGCAAAAAATGGCTGCCTCCACAACAAAAACAGCTGACGCGTGCTATTTGTCTTTGGTTAGATGGTGACACATAGGGCTCATCCTTAGCAAAACCGTAACAGCTGGACTTTATCTTCAGCCACACATCCTCCTGCACCTTTCAGGAGGATCTGTGGCTTCCCTTGATGTTAGTCACTTCAGATGCATGTGCAGCATCTTCCTGCCGTAGCTCAGTTGGCTGCGGATGCTTGGGAAGGAAGGCATTACCACAAGTTATTGTCAATTACTACCTTTTCTTCAGTATCCCCCAGCCCCCACCCCAGCTGATTCCTTCTTCCTACGAGGAGGAAGTTCAGAGAGGAGGTGGGAGGAGGAGGTGCTGAGAGTGGGTGATGCTATGTTACACCTGATTTCTCTTAGGGCCCATGGCAGTGCCCTGTCCCGGCTCGCTCTCCCTCCTCTCCCCCCGCACCTCTGCCATGTCTACCCTGCCCGTCACCCTCTTTCTTTTCCTGGCGACACACACACACACAATCACACACTCACACACACACTCGAGGTTTTATTCATATATATATATGTATGTCTTGGCACTTGTTTAATGAGCGCTCAATGATAGTTTATATCATGAATCATTGACACCTGGGACGGCGACCTTCTGCGTTGTCTGTCTCCAGTGGTTAGTAGAAAGTTGTGGCTCAGACTGTCCCTTTCCTCTTTTTCAAGACCGCTTTGCAATTTTATCTGAATTTGAGGACCGGCTTTTCCACTTCTGCAGAACTAAAACCAGGCCGTAAAGATGAAATTTTGATAAGCACTGCATTAAACCTATCATTGCCTTACGCTTGCAATTTAGATGCCTTTCATTTCTTTTCTTCTTCTTCTTCTTTTTTTTTTTTTTTGCCTGATTGCTCTGGCTAGAACTTCAAAGACAGCGTGAGTATGGTGGCGAAAGCGGGCACCTCTGGCTTGTGCCTGTCTTAGGGGGAAGCTCTCACCACCGAGTGTGAGGCCGGCTGTGAGTTTTTCACAGGCACCCTTCACTAGCAGTCACGGCAGCTCTCTGAGCATCAGTTTTCTCGTCTGCTGTTTCCCCTGTTTTCTGATGGGGCTATGCCTTGGCCTTTCCTAACATCTCTGGAAGGAAGGTATGGCCCCCCCACCCCCCAGCCCCAGCCTCAGGCAGGCGGCGGCCGCCACAGTGGGCAGCGGTGGCTCGTCCCAGGCCCTCTGACCGGGGCGGGGGGAGCGGTTTCCCTCTTAGGCTCCTCTCTGAGTTGCCTTCCTGCCCCTGCTTGGCTTTATTTGCCCTCTCATTACTCTTTTTATCAGTTTTTCTTATGAAACGACTTCTATTCAACCAGTGGGCATGGCTCTGTCTTCCTAACTGGACCTCGACTGAGTCCCATGGGGGCAGGAAAGCTGTCATTGTCACTTCTCCTTGTGACTATGGTGAGGCCCAGCAGTCAGTCCATTTTCCTTCATCTTTGTGGGAATCTCCCTGGAATGAGCCGCCAGCCTGTCTCTCTCAGATGGTGGTGACAGTGTCCCAAATTGGACGTCGCTTTGTGCTTCTTCCCAATCCAGTCTCCATGCAGCAGCCAGAACAAGTGTACCAGTTCCAATGTACCTGGACACAGGAGACAGAAACTGGTTTTCTCACAGGCTTGTAAAACCTGGGGATTAATAACCTCACACGACCCGTCCAGACTCCAGAGCTTTGAATTCGGTGGCTCAATGATGGCATCCGAAACCCAAGTTCATTCCCATCTCTCTCTGCCACCCTCTTTGTCCTCAGGCTGAATATTTTCCCCTGTTTAAGTGCAATAAGAATTCAATAAGAGTCCACCAGGGTGGGAGGAGAGAGAGAGAGAAAATGGAGATGAAGATGAAGGAAAGGGAGGAGGGGCGTAGGAGGAGAAGAAGGAAAAGTAGGAGATGGGGCGGGGGTGGGGGCAGGAGGGAGTGAGGGGAGGGAGGGACACCTGGCATTGACATGGGAAGTACATAATGTCCTTTACTTACATTGGTCAGTGTAGTCCGTGGGTGGCTTCTCCACTTGCTACCCCCAAAGAGTCATAGTTGTCAACTTAGATTTCCCCTGTGCTGTGGGAGAAGGAGTAGACCCCCAAAGAGGTCAGGTTTCCGTTAGGAGTGAGGGAAGAGACATACGTGATGTTCGGTTGTCTAAGAATTCAATTCAGATCCTATCCTGGGACCTACCAGCCTCCAATAGCTTCCACGTGCTTTTATAATCGCATCAGAATGCCTATAAGGGCCAACCTTAGCTCACCCCATGTCTCTGTAGAGTCAATCTCCTGTCATTTTTGTCCCCATCTCCCCGCAATGGCTCTAGCTACAATGACTTTGAAAAGGTTCCTTCAGGGCTACGTGTGTGCCATAGACACATGTCCCAGGAGTTGTCCTTGGTTCCGAGTCCCAGCTGTAAGCAGAATGCCGTGGTTCCTGGTGGGTAAGTGTGGTGTCCTTTATGTGTGCCATTCAAGACACTTTCAATCCAGGCCCGAATTCGCTTTCGTCTCTTCCCATTCAAGAGACTAGAGTCACCCGATGTCCTGATAGTGTCCCCCATCGTCACACCATGATCTCTTTCTCCTGCTTTTCTGCTGGGAAAGTTTTACTCAGGTTGGAAGGCCCAGGGTCCGGTGCGCCTTTTCTAGGAGACTTGCCTAGATCTGTTCGAATGACTCGTTCCCTCTCTGGGATGCTATAACACGTGATCAAATGACTCGTGTAGAAATTATCAAGTGTTCCTGCAATAAATTGCTTCTTTATTTTTCCTGACCGAATGCATCATGCCTGATTTGAGGGTAGAGGCTGTGACTCTCTTAGACTGGCGTTCTTGGGGCCTAAGCAGCGTGTCTGGTCCCACACAATAAAACTTTCAGCAAATTGTGTCATTGAATTACTGACAAAACAGAGGCAACACATATGTCATATGACTACCACAGAGGTGTTACAGGCACAAATAATAACATCAGTGCTCAAGTTTTTGGAAAATTGAACACTATGTAAACAAGAGCTGGCTCCAAACATTATATGTACACTTTACAATTTTGTTCTGATCATGAAGACATTGTTGGTTTCGTACTTGATTTCATGTTTCTAGAAGAAGTTCCCACCCTAGACACCAATGTGAACTGGTGAACACCAACTGACAAACTTGGGGTGAGCCACGTGGGAGGTTCGGAGTCGGCATCAGGCAGAGTTGTCTGGAGTGGCTGCTGTCCCTCTGGTGCCCAATTTTTACCCACTTTTATTTTGACACTCCCATCAGGAGCCGAATGCATTTGTACCATCCCTATTGTTGTAGAGCCAAGACTAGATTTTTATGCTGCAATGGTAATATGTTCCTAACAAGATTTTAAGAAACCAAACTCTCATTTTACAAAAGGTGGAAGGGAGGCACGGTGAACCTAGGAAATCAATCACGTGTTGATATCGTACTATAATCATAGACGGTGTAGCCATTGGGGGACACTGGTTACAGGGAGCACAGGTCTGCTCTGTACTATCTTGGCAAATTCCTGTGACTCTATACTTATTTAAAAATAAAAGCCTAGGAGAAAAGCACCCATCGGGTAGATTGGCTATGTCCTGAGCCATAGCCCTTTTCTCTCTGGAGAGGTGTTGCAGGTCCCCCCTCACCCGGAGCGAGTGCCTGAGCTCAGCCCAGGACAGCGCGGCCCGCAGAGCTGCCACGTCCCAGCCACAGGGTCCGCCCTTGCTCTTGGGTCTCTGCCCCAATCTCGCATTCTCATAAGGAATCCCTGGGCCTTTCTATCAATGGGACATAAGACAGTGCCTTCCCTGTCCCCACGTCCTGCTGTGTTTCCCCTCATACATTTACCACCTACAACTTACTATACTTTCTACCTCTTTGTTTTCCTCTCTGCCTCCTCCCACTAGAATCTAAGTTGCATGATGGCAAGGATTTTTTAAAAATGTATTGCTCTATCCTCGCTGCCTAGAGCTTCACAGAGAATGCGCTCAGCAAATGTTTGTTCAATGAATGACTCTTCGTAGAAAATGAAGGCTTGAAGAGAACTTGACGATTTCCCCGAGAGAGAAGCAGTTCAAATCTGCCTGTCTTGGTATGAGAGTGAATCGGACTTTGAAGCTAAGCCCTTTTTCCTGTGTTCATGCTTCAAAGAGAAGACGCTGCTGATACCATCTGAGAGGAAGGAAACAGTGCATCACGCTGGGCCTGTGCAAGTAACTATTATCAAGACTGTCTTTCTTATAGACCAGCCTCCCAGGTGCTTTCCAGAGATGGATCGCTTGACTTTCTTCTTGGCTCTTCTTCACGTATATAAAGGTAAAGATAATGTCTTTATTTAAAAAATTTACTCCATTTTTTGGTCTTATAGTGTGACATGTTCAGAAATTACAATGCTCTTTTGTTGGCTTAGATAATTTTTTGCTTGTTCAGAGAAGCTAAATGTTACAAGGGCCCCTCGCCAGCAGCAGAACCCTTGTTGGGCTAAGGTGGGACTGCTGGCCTCTACCGTGGGCTCAGCCTGCCATCTTGCCAAGCCTTAGAAAGCTCAGACTAAGCTTCAGGCATCTGGGTGGCGTTTTGATCCTAAAGTCCACTTGAACTGATGGGATGTCTGTTTCAGCTCTAGGAGAAGACAGGTTTTGGGATACAACTATCAAACTTGCCGAGACAGTGACTCTGGAGTGTGTGCACCCGTTGGCACTCAACTTAACCCAGATCGAGTGGTTCAGGATGGACACTGCGAAGAAGGAGTCCATTGCCATTTTCCACCCTGACTATGGCAAGGTCGTAAGGGATCCCTATGTTGGTAGGGTGGACTTGTTAGAGTCGCCCTCAGCGCGCGATTACAGGATACTCTCCATTCGTAATGCCTCGGAGGCGGATGTTGGCTTCTATTCCTGTCTCCTTGATACTTTCCCGCACGGATCTTGGGAAAAGGTGATACAGGTGGTTCCATCAGGTAAGTGCTCATGTTATTTCCCTTTTGACTGACCTGCAACATTGGATTCTGTAAAGCCCAAGTAGAAACTATGAAATGCTTTACCATATTTTTGTCATGTTTTCTGATTCCATGTCTGTGGTGTCAGAGGAATGAAACTATGAGTTAACTTTGTTTTTCTTAATGCGCTGTCATCTTTGAGTAGAAGAAACATCTCCCAGATTTGAGTGTCATGGGAGAAAGCACAAGTCTTCTACTGCCTTAGCGATACGATGACACTACATTACACTGATGCCGGCAGCGTCTGGGCTCAGGAACCAAACGCCACCCCGAGTGCCTCACTCAGGCAATGCGGTGCCACCGACCTTCGCGGGGCACTCAGCGCCGCGAGCCTCGGCCTCCGGTGCCCACAGGCCTTTCTGCAGCGCCGGATCTGCATTGATCCGTGACTCCTGGGCAGGGTTCAAACACTCGCTGCGTTTTCTCCTTCATCCAAGTTTCACCAGAGAGAACCCTTCAGAAATGGTGGGCTGTCATTTCAGAAAGAACCTGATGATTTGCAGTGTTGTCTTTGTACCCACCCATAACTGCGGTTTGCCGCTGAGTGCCTTAGTCCTTCGTGTAGCAGCCACGTGGATTTGGTGTGGGGGGTTGGGAAAACTTAGTTTGGTAGCATTTACTTTTCATATAACCTTATGGTCGCTGCTCAGTCTCTCTGAATCTCAGGTTCCTTAATAGTACATTGAGTTAATGATATCATCTCTTTGTCAAATGGCTTAGGCACCGTATATTTCACGAACTTAGCCTTGGTAATCAGGGAATGGTAGGTATTATTATTATCATTATTATTTGTTATGCTTCTGACACAAAATGGCTCGTGATGACCTTTTCTGGTATTAGCAACAGTGTAAGGCAGAAAGTAACTTGGAACCATGTGTTTCTTGTCTGATAATTCTCCAATTATATTCCAAGTGAGCATCCAGAGAGTATGTGATATCTGAGATAGTGCTTCCTTTTTAAGAGATCCATATGATGAGTTGCAGTTATGTAGGCTAAATCCATCTTGAGAGCAAAAGTATAGCGAGTGACTAGTTACTGGCAGTGTATTGAATTCTGGAAATTTACTAAAAGAGTAGAATTCGGGGCTCTTATTGCACTTACCTACACAAATGGTAACTGTGAAGTGATATGTTAATTAGCTTGACGGTAGTAACCATTTCCCGACAGGCTAGTGAGGGTGCCCCCCTCACCTTCGAGACTTGGAAGACTTCATTTTTTTAAACTAAGAATGACACTGAATTAAAAAAATATATAGTAGCTGTATTTCAAAATGAACCTTAGCTGTATTTAAATTTTCCCTTTATGAGATCTATTAATAACATATCAGGATCTGGACACACAACGTGTGTGTATAATGTGAAGGGATAGCCGGCGAACTATTTAATGATAGAGGAGTGGACCCTGGGTCCAGAACCCTCCTTTGCCAACTAGGTGGCAAGGGATTCAGAAGGGTGACGGGACTCGTCTCAGGCTCCCTCGGTGTATGGGGTCCCCCTCTTTACCAATGGCTTGTTCTGCAGCTGGAGCTCGGTCACTGTCTGACATGGATCTTCTCATGTGACCCTCACTGCACACTGGGAAGTGGTCATGACCTTGGCTTTCCAGGTGTGGACACCGAAGTGCAGTGAGGTCCAGCAGCCAGCCCAAGTTCTCAGGCTTCGTATGTGCCCCGCCAGATCAATGTGCAATGTGAGGATGGAGAATGATGACTTGAGGGGACTCAGGGGCCCCCGGGGCTCTCAGAGGAGAGACATTGACCACTCTACAGCCTTTCTGCCCCCTCCCTCTCAAGCCTTCAGCCCGGAGTTGAAGAGCAAACTGAATGCTTTATTCTGAATGGCACCATTAACGCAAAATGATGTTAGAATGTGTGTGAACTTCAGAACAGGCATTCCTCGGGCAGAAAGTGATTCAGAGAATTTAAGAGGAAGGAAGGCTGCATTTATTTACTGCTCCTGGGAAGACATGCCAAGGTGACCTGGGAGGTAACATTTCAAGGCTGCCCTTTCGTGGCTGTTTGTGGTGGGAGTGGAGTCGTGGAGAAAATGACCGTAACCCATGTGTCTCTGGCCTCACTGGTCAGAGCAAATGTAGTTGTGTTATGGAAGTGTCCTCCAAAATGGGTGGCCTACCCAGAGTACTCCACCTCCTCACTCTTGCTGGGTGCCCACCGGGTGCTAAGTAAACACATGTCATCCCACGTAATCCTTATGAAGCTCCGTGGGGCGGGGGGTGGTAGGCGTGCCCATGATGCAGATGAAGAAACTGAGGCTCAGCATCATCAGTGAACTCAAGGTCACCGAGCTGCCCAGCTGCAGCACCAGGCTGAAACCAGGTGATGCCTCTGAACGGGCCGGGAATGATCTGCTTGACTCCAGCAGAGTGAACCAGAGTCTCAAGGGAGGAGCAGGCCATGCTGGACTTTAGCGATGGGGAGGGAATTTTTTAAGTTAGAGGGGCTGGGGTGAGAGGAGAGGAAATAGAGAAAGAGGGGCATCTTAGGGGTTGCAGGTGCTACGGAGGGGCACAGGGAGGTTCCAGCTCCTGCAGGGGACAGAGAACAGACCCATCTGACAGGCACAGAGCTTGACAGGGCGGGGCTCTCACCCCAGGCTCTGACACCTTTGCTGTCACCAGGGGTGGCCTGAGATGTGGCCTCAAGGGCGAGGAAAGAACTGTGAGAATGGGCCCCTCTCCCTGCCCACACCCGCAAAAGGCCTCAGCATATGGTATGTTGGGGTTCCGAGTAACATTTTACCTGGCGGCTTCTATGTTTTCAAAGGCTGTGAAGCAGTGGAATGTCAGAGAAGGTTCTGGAACGTTAGGGCACTGGACTTCCCTGTGCCTAATAGAACGTGAGCCTGGCTCTGTCGTGGGGACCACTGGAGTCCTTGGACGATCGTCAGAGAGAGGCGCTTGGGAAGCCCAGGCTGGTTACCACCAGGAAGGCTCAGCTCGTTGCAGCCCCACAGAAGGGAAGAATTTAAGGGCGGGCGAACCAATAGTACTTTACCTATTGGCACCCTCACCCACTGCCAGTCAGAGTATAAACTGGAGCATCTGTTGTTTCACTGGTATTGGTAATCTTCAGGGTTCCCCAGAAAAATAGAACCAATAAGACGTGTTATACATAGAAAGAAACTTGTTGGAAGGAATTGGCTCATGTGATTATGGAGCCAGGCCAGCCCCCATCTGCAATGTGTGCAGACAGGAGCGCGCACACGCGCGCGCATGCAACACGTGAGTAAAGACTGTTCTGGCAGATGTTGCATCTCAGCTGTTTTTTATTTAAGAAAGAGAGAAGAGAGTTAATCGTGCCTCTAAGAAATAGTCAACTGATGAAACAGAAACATTCTAAAGGCTTCGAAATCCCCCCCGTTCATGAAATCAAATAGCATATAGAGAAAGCAGGTGGGAAAGAACATTTTGGGCCCTGCGGAGAGCCAGGCATGGCCCCTGCCCTTCTCACAGGCAAGGCGGATGGGCGTGCTGGCCAGGGCTGCTTCTGTTGACCGGCTTCCCGTTTGCTAAGGCAGGGAGGGGCAGGCTGGAGGGCACATGCCACCGGGAGAGTCAGCGCGCAGGCTCAGGGGGAAATCTCGGTCATCAGCAGTCAAAGAGAGAGGAGCGAAGAAACCAGCACCCAAACAAGGCAACCGTGGCTTTAGGGGTGCGATGAAATTCAGTACCGGGACGGCTGAGGAAAGGGATGCACAAGCACAGGATGTGGCTGGGTTTCCTGAGAGTTGTTGCTTCTGTGTGTCCAGCTCGGTGCGTAGGCCTGTGCTATAAAGGTCTCGGCTGCCTCGGCTGCCTCGGCTGCCTCGACTGCCCCTCCTGCTCCGAGGCCCCGTCCTCTACCCTCATCCCGCAGAGTCAGCAGAAGAGACTTTGCCTTCCAGGCTTATTCCGAGATGCGTTCAGGCTGTCCAGAGCGGGGCGTGACATCGGCTGTGGCCTTCGCAAGCAGCCGTTCCGTTTACTCCCCTTCTGGACGGCCTCCCCTTCTTTTGGTGGCTGCTTTTACATCCCTGGGGTAGGGGCGCGTTTGGCTGAATGGCTGGAGAATGAGCCACAGCTGACATTTCTCTTGGAGATGCTCTGAGTGCGGCCGAAACAAGAGAGTCCGTGGGTTTTCGTCCTCTAACTTTCAGAAACCAAGATGGTTCACGCCTCTTAGTCTCTTTACCACAACTGCCGTTTCCCCAGCACTCAGGGCGGTTGCCCCTGATGGCAGAATCTGGGCCACGTTTCCTCTCCGGGGCGGGCCACAGCAGTGTGTGGGTGTGAGGGCGGAGTGCGGAGCGTGGCTTTAGGGACCTCAGCCCCCCGCAGACTGGGGGAGCTCAGCCCCTGTGCCCAGGAACTCCTGGGTCTGTATTCTTGGGGAAGAGCCTCTCTTGTCCGGATCAGAGCTGCAGACATCCAACACTATACCCGAGCTTCCTCCTGGAAACGCCTCGGTGCCCTTAGGGGGTAGGTGTCCGTGACCTTCAGAGACCTTGCAGGAATTTGCCCTTTCACCTATTGCAGTATTACCTGAGAGGACAATTCCTTTTGTGCATTTTCTAAGACACAAATGCTGGATTTTTGGTGTTTAAAATGAAATGATCAAAAAGGAAAAATAACCAGAGAACGGGGAAAAGCGAAGCCCTCTGCTCCCCCGAGGCCGGAGGGCCCCTCGGTCTGCTTTCCCATTGAGCCCGCGCGCCCCGGCCAGCACAGCTGGCACTGGGGAACGGAGGCTGAGCTGTGCTCCTGTTCATGGCTTTTGTTCCTGTTTGGTTTTATATGAAGTGGACCTGGCAAGCAGGGTGGATTTCTTCTCATTCGGAAAAGTCTCTGGAGACAGTTAAGATTTTGAGACCATTAAGAATCTTAAGACTATCAAGTCAATCCTCGGGGATCAAGGCAACATTATTCCCCCAGGGCGACTTCTGTTCCGCTGTCTCCACAGTCGT